GTAAGCGGTGCGATGGTGGCACGCGACGGGGGGCGACGTCGATGTTTTCTTACGGGTGGCGGAAACAGGGGCCCTGTAGCGCAGGGGCCCGAGCCACTCCCAGGAACTCGATGGCCAGGGGCAGCGGGCGGGAATTGCTCAAATCCGGCCGAATGCCTGAGCCCAAATGGCCACAAGCATCGCGCAGAGCGCAAGAGAACTCACATTCCCGTCGCCCCACCTAGCACCTAGAAGCGGTGCGACGGCGGCGAAAGAGGGGGGGGCATGTTGACGCCTGTTTCTAGGGGTACCGATGACGGGGGCTCTGGCGCGCAACGGCCCGAACCGCCCCCAAGAACTCGACGCCCCCCCTCAGCGATGGGAGCGGGTAGCCGGGAAGGAGGGGGCGGAGGCCTGGAGGCGCGGGGGGCTCGACCCCCGGGCCCCCCGGTCGGGCGCCGCGATTGCCGAGGTCCGTCACCCGCACCCCGCGCCCCCGCGACCCGTCGCGCCGGCATCGCAGACCCCCCGCCGCACCGCGCCGCGCAAAGGGGAAGCGGGAAGGCGGCTCAAGGGCCCCCAATCCTTGGGGGCCCGACCCCCACTCCCGCCAAAGGGGCCCTCGCCCACTGGCGGGATCGGGAGTGGCCCCTCCTCCAGCGCGGGCCGCTCCCATTGGCCTCGCGCTGGCCCCCGATTTGGGAGGTCGCGCGGGGCCCCGCGCGCCGCCGCCGCAGCCTCCAGTCCCGCCCGGGAGGCATCGTTAATGACGTGCTGGGCGATGCTGTCACCGCGGCGTCAGGCCCCCTGTCATTTGGCCGCGCCCCGCCGCGGGCGTCCTGCCCGTGACGGCCGCCCTGTCCTCGACGATCGACTCGTGGAGCTCCTGGGAGGCCTTCGTCGTTTCGTCCAGCACGCGCCACTTCAGGTCCGCAGCCGCCACGTGGATCCCGAGGAGCACGTCGAAACCCGACGTCGTGTCGCTGAGATTGCACGCCCCCTGGTTCTCCTCGCGCAGCAGCCAGGATATGTTCAGCGCCATACTGCGTGACTTCAGCTTTTCTGGAAGCTCGATGATGAGGACCGCCAACGGCCACTTGGTCGACATGGCCCAGTTTACCGCGCGCGGGCGGCGATCTCCACCCTCAAAGGGGGGCATCGAACATGTTCCTGCCCCGCCGCCCGAAGCTCTGAGGACGCGTTCGCACGGCCCTCCAAAGGCCTTCGAATCTGCCGCCTCCAGGAAGCTTCCGAGAGGCCTTCCAAGAGATCCCAACAAGCAACCGAGAGGCCTCTAACCTGCAATTCGGGCACGGTTGCCGGGTTGGCCCCCCTCATCAGCTTTCCCCCCTTCCCCCCTCCCCACCATTTTCCTCCTCCTCCTCATCATCATCAGCATCATCACCATCATCATTATCATCAGCATCATCACCACCATCATCATCATCATCATCATCATCACCACCACCACCACCACCACCACCACCACCACCACCACCACCACCACCACTCCCACCACCACCACCACCACCACCACCACCACCATCACCACCACCACCAGCATCAGCATCAGCATCACATCATCATCATCATCACCCACCAGCATCAGCATCAGCATCAGCATCATCATCATCATCATCATCATCATCATCATCATCATCATCATCATCATCATCAGCATCATCATCATCATCATCATAATCATCATCATCATCATCATCATCATCATCATCATCATCATCATCATCATCAACAACCACCACCACCACCACCACCACCACCACCACCACCACCATCATCATCATCATCATCATCATCATCATCATCATCAGCATCATCATCAGCATCATCATCATCATCATCATCATCATCATCATCCTCTCCCTCCTCGTCCTCGCGTTCCTCTCCCCACCTCGTCCTCATGATCCCGCCCCCCCAGCCTCCTTCTCCACCCCACTGCCATAAAGATACCCATCCCCGTCACGCAACCAGACGCGTCGGCAGGGCGGGCCCGGCGTTTCGCATGAGACTGTCTCGCCACCGACGACCCTGAAACTTGGAGCTCCCAACAACTCCGTGGATGGAGGGCGGGTCGCGTTCAAAATGATGCCCTCGCCCCCCCCTCCCCCCCCCCAAAAAAAAAACGCGCACTCGTCTTCAGCATTTGCAGCAACTTCGCGGACAGATGGCGGCTCCTTTTTCAAATATCTAGCTCTCGCCTTAGCACTGCGCGCGTTCGCCTAAAACATTCAAGGCAACTTCATGGATGAAAGGCGGGCAGATTTCAAAACGTGGTTCCCGCCCCAGCGCCGTGCACTTTCGCCGCAAACAATGCAGCAGCTTGTCGGATGGAGGGCGGCTCCTTTTTCGAAACGTGGCTAGGGGGCAACCATGCGGCCCTTTTCTCGCCATCGCTCGGACGGCCGGTCACCGTGCCTCGCCTTACCACTAAGAGCATCTGCCTTAAAGAGTCACAACAGTTGCAAGGGTCGTACGGTCGAAATTCCAGGAATTGCGTTTTGGCACAATTTGATTTGTAAAAACGTAGCACACAAACTGAATCGTGGTGTTGAAAGCACGGTTGAGTTGTCAGGATGCAAAAACCTGTTGTGTTCCGCGACGTTGAAGTCGCAGACGCGCGGCGAGAGCCTTTCGGAGCCATGGCGCCCTCGCGGATACTGAAGGGGGAAGAGATGGGACACGTATCAACACTGCGCTGTGTGGCGCGGCTCTGGCGCCCCCGGGCAAAAAGGCCACGCGGGCGGGCGCGTGTCACGGCTCGCCCCGAACACAATTGCTCCCGAGCCAAAACGCCAAGACTGAACGGGACAAAGAGGGAAGGGGGAGAGGGGGAGTCTTGACCGAGACTCGGCTGGGGGAAACGGGCCCTGAGACTTGGAGCCGCTTTCGGGTTCCAGGGGCCCTCGGCCAAAACAACTCGGGAAGACGAGCTGCTCCTCTGGGGGGGCCTTTAGGGGAACGAGCAACGACGCAAACATAAAATCTGGAAGGTCCGCGTGGTTTCCCCGGACCAGCGCAGGACCCCCCTCCCTCGGCGTACGGGGCGCGCCAGGGGCAACGCCGGAGGCGCCGCCGCGGGGGGCCCCAGCTCCGATCAGAGGAGTCCGCGAGGAACTCCCAATCTTTATGTGTATGTTGTATGCCATTGCTTGTTCCCCAACACCATGGGGCCCGAGCCCCGATTCCCTCTCAACCACAAAACAATGGGCGCGACGAAAGGCGCCCGCCGAACACGGCCTCCCCGCGGCCACGGGCGCCGATTTGGTGCCGACAGGTTCTGTTGACGGGGCTGAGCGCTGCCGACCGGCCACTTGTCGGGCGAATAGAACCCTCACAGAAGACACATTGATATTGGCCCCCCTTCGCCTGCGCCCGATGGTCTTCTGCAATCCAACTGCGCACCTCAAGCAGCGTAAGCTCAATAGATAATGCGGCACCCAAGCGCAACTGCCCGCGGCGCATTCTAGAATTCAGGCTCGCCCGCAGAACCGCTGAAGTGCATGACCTGGTTGGCCGTCAAAAAAATATTCCTGACAAGATCATTTGCGGCGGATCGAGGTTCCGCCGAAGTCCTCGAGGAGGGGGGGGGAGGGGGCCAGGGTGTCATGCGAGGAAGGGCGCGAAGGAACGATACAGCGACAGAACAGAGAAAGAGGGGGAGAGGGAGAGGGAGAGAAAAGGATACGAGGGCCATGCATGAATAAAGTCCAGCGCACCATTGAAGAACACACAGAAAAAACTGCTGTGGTTCGGCCCCGTCCTGCTTAACTATCCGCCAACCCTGTTGGCGCGTGGAAGACGCTGTCGTCGTCGTCGCCGTTGCCGTCGCCGTCGCCGTCGCCATTGCCGTCGCCCCTCCCTTCCGTTCCCATGGGCCCTCTTCAACCTCCAGGCACGAGGAAATTGAGGAACGTCATCTAAAGAAATCCAATCTAAAGACGACGTTGTTTATCTTGGTGGCCTCTTAAGCGCAGATGGTCGGCCCAAGGCTGAAATAACGCGCCGCCTCGGAGAAGCAAAAGGAGCATTTGGCAAATTATGTGCTGTGTGGAACCACGCAAACATGACCAAGCAGCACAAGCTACGAGTACTGCAAGCCTGCGTCTTCTCCAAATTATTGTACGGATTGGAATCTTGTGTATTATTGCAAGCAGACAAGAACAGACTGGATGGATTTCAAGCCAAATGCTACCGCAGAGTACTGAAGATCCAGCCGGCATTCCTATCTTTCTTCAGCAATCAACGTGTCCTGCTTGAAGCACAATCTCCTCCATTGTCAACTATACTATTGGAGAGGCAGCTTAAATATTACGGTAAATTAGCAAGGGCACCTTCGCAATCGTTGCCGAAAGCAATGGTGTTCCAGCCAGGCGAGGCGCACTCCCTAATGCCGCGGGAATGGCGGTCCCTGAAGAATCGAGGCAGACCGCCCTTGCAATGGACCAGTTACATGCACGCCCGCGCGCTGAGAGTCGCAGGAGACGACCCCGACCGCCTGCAGATTTTATTGAATTCTCCTCCAAGGGAATGGGATGCAGCTGTTAAAGAGTATTGTAAACAGTCAGTGTGACTGCGATGAGTTCCCTCGCTCTGCTCATTCGCCTCCCTCCTCCCTGTCCCCTCCCCGCCCCCCCCACCCTCTTCAGACGGAGTGTTGCTGCTTACCCTCGCGCGCCATTTGCGCAAAGCTTGCAAGTGGTTGCCGGCCGAGGCCCAGTGACATTTTCCACGTATGCATGTGCACATTTCCTGCCGATGAGCCGTCTGGGCGCGGCTCTCTGTTGTTGATCGTTAAATCGAAAGGAAGCCCCTTCCCTGCGACCCCTCCCCCGCGCCCCCCGGAGCCCCCAGAGGCCCGGGGGCGGTTCGCCAGCGGGTGTCCCGGGGGAGGTCCCGCGCACAGGGTCGGCGGCAACGGCCTGGAGGCCTTCCCAATGCTGGGCCCCCATCAGACACAAGCGCTATCTGCACTTCTGCGCGGAGCAGATGCGAGAGGCACGTTAGAGACTGCGAGATTCGGTAACCTCAGTGCCTATTGTCTGACAGAAACTGGCGACAGTAGTGCTGCCCGTCAGGAAAGCTACAAGGTGAGCCACCAGGAAAGCTGCCAAAAAACCCTCCTGGCATCCCAGGAACGCCTCCGGTGGTGCCGCTGCCGCCTCACCCCACATAACACTCGGGGTGGCCCTGCTGGTCGCACTCGTCCGGGCAGCAGTGCCTGCAGTTGTAGCCGTTGATCGTTGGCGGAGGGCTGCTGCACTCCTGGTCTCCAGGGGTACTCGGGGTGGCGGGAATCGTGGTGCCGCCGCCGCCTCCGCCCACATAGCACTCGGGGTGGCCCTGCTGGTCGCACTCGTCCGGGCAGCAGTGCCTGCAGTTGTAGCCGTTGATCGTCGGCGGAGGGCTGCTGCACTCCTGGTCTCCAGGGGTACTCGGGGTGGCGAGAAGTGTGGCGCCGCCGCCGCCTCCGCCCACATAGCACTCGGGGTGGCCCTGCTGGTCGCACTGGCCCGGGCAGCAGTGCCGGCAGTTGTAGCCGTTGATCGTCGGCGGAGGGCTGCTGCACTCCTGGTCTCCAGGGGTACTCGGGGTGGCGGGAATCGTGGTGCCGCCGCCGCCTCCGCCCACATAGCACTCGGGGTGGCCCTGCTGGTTGCACTCGTCCGGGCAGCAGTGCCGGCAGTTGTAGCCGTGATCGTCGGCGGAGGGCTGCTGCACTCCTGGTCTCCAGGGGTACTCGGGTGGCGGGAATCGTGGTGCCGCCGCCGCCTCCGCCCACATAGCACTCGGGGTGGCCCTGCTGGTCGCACTGGCCCGGGCAGCAGTGCCGGCAGTTGTAGCCGTTGATCGTCGGCGGAGGGCTGCTGCACTCCTGGTCTCCAGGGGTACTCGGATTTGCGGGAATCGTGGTGCCGCCGCCGCCTCCGCCCACATAGCACTCGGGGTGGCCCTCTTGGTCGCACTGGCCCGGGCAGCAGTGCCGGCAGTTGTAGCCGTTGATCGTCGGCGGAGGGTTGCTGCACTCCTGGTCTCCAGGGGTACTCGGAGTGGCGGGAATCGTTGTGCCGCCGCCGCCTCCGCCCACATAGCACTCGGGGTGGCCCTGCTGGTCGCACTGGCCCGGGCAGCAGTGCCGGCAGTTGTAGCCGTTGATCGTCGGCGGAGGGCTGCTGCACGTCTGGCCAGACTTGTGCTGCAGGATCGTTTGATGCGTGCGCTGAAGGAGAGCCTGCTCGTCATCTTTGGCATCGCAATTGTCGTTGCCCCAGCAATCGTCTGTCCGCGCGAAGGCCAGCGCAGTCAGCCAAGCGCCTGTCAGGAACCCTGCCATCGCCCACATCGCTGCAGCAAGCGATGCTTGCTCAGAAGCGCTTGGAAGCAGAGCCGCGTAACGATGGACAACAGAAATTGAGCCAACTCGGTTACATAATCCTGGTTTGAAAACGGTTGCATGGTGAAGACCATTGAGCCGCGATCGACGAATTTCGCATTCTTGAACCGAAATTTGTTGATCCGACGCGCTGACCTCACAAGGCACAAGGGCCTCCTGGACTTAAGCACAAACGCTCAAGGCACAAGGGCTCAAGCACAAGGGCTCAGGGCAGAGGGTCCCAAACATTAGGTACAGGGGCTCGAGGCCCAAGCGCAGGTGCTCAAGCACAGGCCACACGGGCCTCCACGCCATGTTCTGACGGGCACGAGCGGGCTGCCTGGCGGGGCACGAGCGGGCGCGCTCGCCTGGAGGACCCCCATCATCTGGGCGACGAAAACAAAAGGGTTTCACGCGAGATGGCACAGCGAGATCACGTGGTGGCTTACGCGGCCGCTGGCGCGGCACGCCACACTGGAGACGAAGGCGCTTACGGGCGACCTGCCGAGCCAATGCCGGCGCAGACGACCCGGTTTTTTCGGCGGTGGACAAACCTCCCTTTAGCAAACCTCCCCTTAGTGAAAACGGCCTGGGACCGAAACCGACGGACCTGGACCCGCAAAATCGACGGCCGCGACGCCCTCTCGCGAACCGAGAACGGCCAATTCCTTAATCGACGTGTCAGGGTAGGAGGTATGTTTACCCCCGATGTTTTGCGCTGCTCATCTGGAGACTACTCACCTGGAGCAGCCGGCACGGCGCGGCCGACGTCCCCGCGGGGACCCCGGGGGGCTCGGCTCCTGGGTCCCTGGACGCCTCCCCGTGGCCCCCGTTTGAGGTGGACTTCGTCACGTGATGCGGGATTCCCTCCCCGCACTCCTCCTGCTCCTCCTGCTCCTCCTCCTCCTCCTCTTCCTCCTCCTCCTCCTCCTCCTCCTCCTCCTCTCCTCCTCATTGGTGACTCGGTGATGCGGACGAGTTCGCGTCGAAGCGCCGATGCCCTCGAGCCCCCCCTCTGACCTGCGGGGGGGGGGGGCCGAACAAAAAACACGAGGTAAATGGAAAGAGCAAGAAGGAGAGCGGCAGTGATAAAGATGCATCTACCGCAGCCTGGACAATGAGCCGCAGTTTGGAAAATGAGACGGGGCAAGGCTTGCGGCTCCGATGGTGCCTGGCGCCCTTTGGAGAGCGGTCTGCACGCGCGGTTCGCCTGCGCGCAAGTGGACCGCAGCTCTGTGCCAGAAGCGCTGGGCCGAGGGGGCGGTGCCTCGCTCGTGGCACCTCTGGTTACAGCTGTCTGCAAAAAAGGCGACGAATCCAAGTGCGAGGAACAGACGGCCCATATGCTGCAGGCGGGTTATGAGCTGTACGGGGCAATCCTCCTGCAGAGAGTGAAGCGGGCGGGCGCCGAAGATCGCATCTGTCACGCGCTGTTCGGCTTCGAATCGAAGCATGGTGCGGCGGATGGCACCCTCTTGGCGCGCCGCAGCATCGAAGATGCATGGGAGGCAAGAGATGGTCAGACAAAGCTGTTGGCCCCAGATTGGCAGGTTGGGCCTGAGCATTTGACAGCGTTGCCCCGGACGCCCTCCTGCTGGCCCTTGAGCGTTTCGGCCTGCCTGCACCTACATTGGGGGCCCGACCACACGAAACCTTCCACAAGAAACCCAACCCTGAGGCCCCAGGACGTCCATCGATGTTTGGAGTGGGAGCGTCGTCACGCTTTCCATGTCAAAACCATCGAAACCAAAGAATCCCGGGGCACCCTGGAGGCAAGCAGGGTGTTTCTTGGCATGGGCCCCCCCACTGTATGCTGGCAGCCATCGAGGCGATCTACACTTGAGCAGACACCGACCGTCCCCGCATTCCTATCGGCCTACCACGACATGTTCTTAGAACACCCAGATGTTCTAAGAACAATGTTCTTAAAACATAAGCCCGATGTGTTAAAACAAGACGGCCCCAGCCAAACATGTTCTAAGAACATTTCGCGCAGACCACACAAGGTTCTCAGAACATTGTCTGGTGGGCTATGGGGGAAGCAAGGACGCCTCGCCACTGCTTCACCACTGTATGCTGGCAGCCACCGAGGCGATCTACACGGCACGGCGCTCTGCAGTCAGGGAAGCCAGCGCCACGTCGAGCTCTCGGCCGCAGCACGCGGGCATCTGCCAGGGGTGCCCTCACCCGCCGTTCCTGCTCGCTGTGCTCCTGCCGGTCTAAAATTAGCGGTTGGCAAGGGCAGCCCCTGGCCAAAGCGCAGCAGACGTGGGGGAGGAGGGAGGAAGGAGGAGGGAGGAGGGAGGAGCGAGGAGGGAGGAGGGAGGAGGGAGAAGGGAGGAGGGAGGAGGGAGGAGGGAGGAGGAGGAGGAAGAGGAGGAGGAGGAGGAAGAGGAGGAGGAGGAGTTACCTCGGAGTTGCCTGCCATCCACATGCGGTGGGGGCACCGCTATGGCAACGCCGAGGGCTCATGCCATAAAACCCCAGGAGGGCGACGCAGCGCAGAATCGCGGCGTGCCCCACCTAGGTCGCATTCGACTTCTGCCAAGGGGGCGCGGTGGCAAGGATGCAGGCCTCTGCGGATCCGAGCCAAGTTCCCGCGCCCGTTGCGAGTGGCCTCGCCGCATGCCCCGATCAAATGCACGGGGCTGGTCGAAGCGGTGCATCCGCACCGCGCGCAGAAATACAGGCAGTGGCGGGTCCACAGCTGCACACGGCGCGAGGAATGAAGAACCTTCCCGCCCACTCGAACCCCCGCCCCCGCCTCCCGAATGACGTCGGCGGGGCGCAGCTCGCCCGAGCCGCCCCCTGCCGAACACGGGGAGGCGCATGCCTCCAAAGACAGGTGCCAGGCACGAGCTGGCGGCAAAGGGCATAAGCCAAATGCCGAGCAGCTCGCACGAAGCAATGACTCGAGGCGATGAGCGCCTGCTGGAGGGGGGGATAGTGGGCAGCAAGGGCGCGCGGTGGCCTGATCGCGGCCCAGAGGGCCGCCGCCGAGGCGCCCAGGAAAGCCCGGCGGGCGCGCTCGCGCACGAGGGCCGCCGCGCAGTCCCACGCGTCCGCGCGAGGGGCAGTGCCGACCAGCGCCGCGCCCCAGGCGCGTCGGGCGGCCAGGCCAGCGAGCTCATCAGCAGCGCCGTTGCCCTCAGCCACGCGCCGCTCCCAAGCTGAGAGCTCAGGATCGTCGGGCTCGAGGTGTCTGGGGCCCAGGTGACCCTGACCTCCCCCTCGTGCTCCAAGAAGGCAGCTCTGATCATGCGCCAGAGGTCGGCGTTGGGGCCTGCGCCCCCGCCAGAGCAGCGCAGGCCCTTCTCCCAGCCCCGCATCAACATGGCACTATCAGTGACGTAGAGCTGGGGGCCCTGGAAAGACGCCAGGGCTAGCGCGAAGGCGCGCAACTCAGCACGCGGGACAGTCTGACGTCGGCCGTCGAGGCCGCGCGCGACGCCAGCCAAGCGACTGAGGCCGCCTGTGGTGAGTTCCAGGGCCACTGCGGCCGACCCGACGCGGCGCCCACGGGCGTCGCTGCTGAACTGCCCGCCCGAGCCGTCTCCAAAGACGACCAGACAGGAGCTGGAGTCATGCCGCGCCCGCGCCGCGACGTCGGCGTCACGCGGGCGCCCAGAGTCATCCCCGCTCCGACCCACCGCCCACGCCGCCGTCGCCCCCCCCCCCCCCCGCCCATCAGAGAACGAAGGAATGGTGAGGGAGGAAGGAGGGCGGCCGCGAAGCCAGAGGGAGGAGACGTGATCCTGGCCCGCGAAAGCCCGGGGAAGCAGGAGATCCGAGTCCTCGTAGCCTGGGCCACGGTTGCAACTGCATTCCCAAATTCTGTGAAAGAGGGTCTCGGGGGCCTGGCCGCACCTGGGGCAGAGCGGGGAAGCAAGGCACCCCGCTGCAAGCTGCCTCTCCTGCGGCCACTGCCCCCCAGACACGACCGCGAGCGCTGGGCCAACTACATCGCACGAGCCCGCGCGCGCCGCGCGACGAATCTCAGTGCGGATCGGAAACAAATCGGCGCCCTTGGCCAGGTCTTCCCCGAACTGATGAGACGACGCCGCCGCCCAAAGGGAGGAGGAGAGGTCCTCGCGGAGGTCGTCGAGGAGACCGGAGAAATCAAAAACGCCCTCGCTCCTCTGCTCCCGGGGGGGGCGGGTCGGGGAAGCGCCAGATCCCCCAGTCGTCGCCGACGGGCCCGCGCCACTCACGCGCGTCGACTGGGGGCCAGCCAAGGTCGAGGAGGGTGGCCTGAACAGCTCCGACGGGCCCCCTCGCCCTGCGCCATCGTCGATTCGCAGCGCGACCGATGCGCACACGCACGCGCGGCCAAGCACGGGCAATACGAGCATGCAGGGATGGGGTGTGCGTCCACATGTCCAGCCACGCCGTGACGAGCTGCGCTCGCAGCGAGATCGCTGGGTCCTGATCGCCCAGCATCAAAGACAAAATAGTAGCGAGGCACCTGTCAGGCCCCCCCCCCTGCAACAGCCGACGCGGCCTGTCGCCGCAAGACGGTCAGAGAAAGAGGCACTTGGAAATGTCGCACAGCTTCGCATGCTTCCGAAGTCGGAAAATCCTTCTTGCACGATGCAGAGCCTTCGACCCCCTGGGGCGGATATTTTGCACAACGCGCCTGGCTCCCGCAGCGGTGTCACACCCGAGATCGCCAGCGCGCGGAACTCGGGAGAAAGGGAGCCCGACCTCTTGAAGGTCGGTCTCCAACACACGTCCGAGGGAAGGCGAGGCCGTGATCAACTTCGTCTTGTCCGAAATCGGCAGCCCAGCGCCCCCCAGAGACGACGCCAACTGGGCACTCGCAGCCCGCATCTGCTGTCTGACAGACGACTCGGTGCCTTCGCACCTGACGACTGCGTCGCCCACAAAAGTCCAGAGCCCAACAGGTGGGGCCCTAGGGGCATTCGCACTGGAATGCACAGCTTGCAAAATCGGCCCGAGGAAGACCTTGGCAAGTTTGACCCCGCGCGCCGAGCCCGCAACGATGGACCGCTCAGGAAACGCAAAATCGCTGCACGAGGCCCTGGCCTGGAGGACCTCCAGGGCCAGCAAAAAAAAACTGAACTTCGAGCAGGGTGACCACAAGTGGGAAGCCCTGCTCACTAGACCCCTTCATGAGCAATAACAGACTGACGCTGTCGTCGAATTTCTCAATGTCGAGCAGAAGAGAAGCCGACAGGACACCCAGCGACACCGCCGATTCGTCCATCACTGCTCTGACGATCGCCGCCCTAAGGGCGCTACTCTTCCTCGCCGCGGTGTCCCAATACTCCCCGAGACTCTAAAGCCACTGGTCGGCGCGGGTGGCCCGAGCGCGGGACCAAATGCCAGCCGCAGTCGGAAGGAGCCCGATCACCCTGTCGCCTCCTGAGGGCTTGGGAATCGCGCAGCACGCGGTGAGAAGAAGCTGACGTGGCCAGCTGCCAAGGCGCTCAGCGGCGTTGAGCACGCCCGCGAAGCCCTGGCGCCCCAGCCCTGGCAGCCTCTGGATGTCCAGCGGCGAGAGGACATCGGCGCCCTTGGCCTTAGCACCCGGCATGCGCCCGACGACGCTGTCCACTTGCCCACCTCCAGCGGCGCGAGCGGCTGCTGCAGCGCCCCCTGCCAGAGGAAGCTCATACCCTGGAGGAGGTCGGGACGCGTCGCTGCAGGGCCCTGCCAGCGCGGCTCCCAGCAGGCCGCCTTGTCGGCAAGAAGGCCTGCTGGATCGGCCGCGGCCTCAGGGGCGGCGGCCTCGGCCTTGACGCGACGGTGGACCGCCCCTGGGCGCTTCTTCCAGCAGTCCTGAGCCCAGCGCGCGAAAGCCTGGCCAGCCGCGGCGAGGCTGCGCGAGAAGGCCCGCTGCACCAGCACGTGCGCGCGCTCGACCACGGCGCACAGCTCGTGGAATTCGGCCGCGGCACGCATGCTGGAGAGGACCGCCGCCGTCCAAGCCTCCACGTCCGCAATGTCCATGCGCTTCCCGAAGATGACGTCCTTGGGCTGACTCTCGCCCTGCTCCATCATCCTCCCGATGGTGGCGATGGTGGCGAGCTGCTGCTGGTGGTCGGGATTGTGCCTGCGCAGCGTCAGCAGTCTCGTGAGTAGAGTGTGCAGCGTCCACCACCATTCAACTGCAGGCGCCCTCATGTGCGCCCTACCCGGAGACGGCTTCATCCTAGCCCACGTGAGGCCTGGAACTTCACCACGCCCTGAACATGATCTGCGCATGGTGTCATCCGCGCCCTCGACCTGGAGCACCGTCTCCTCGAGCGTGCTCACCCAGCGGCCGTAGAGGTCGGTGACCACGTCGACACCAGAGCCTGCGGGGACAGCCCATGCCCCGCCAGCGCGCGGTGGAGCACGCGGCTTGCTCGCGACAAAACCAGCCGCCAGGTCCCAGGCATGAGGGGGAATTGGGCATGTGGCCCCACACTGCAATCTCAGTGTCCCGGAAGATCCGTATATTTGAAGCGTGCGTGCTGAGCAACATGCTGTACAGTCTGCACACTGCATGGTTGAAAGGTGCACAACGCGCCAGGTTGGACGGCTTCCAGACCCACTGCCTCCAGAAGGTACTGCGGATTCCGCACTGGTATTACAGCCGCGTTACCAAAGCAGCTATTCTCGAGCAGGCGGGGTGTCAGAAACTCAGCAATTTCCTCTTTCAGAAGCAGTTCGCTCTTTTTTGCAGAGACCGCGAATAGGAGCAATGCTCACCCTGTTCGCAGGGCAATTGTCCGACCATGCTCAGTTATCCCGAAGCCTCCTCCAGAGAAGAGGAGAAGAGGCCGACCTCGCTGTGCATGGACCACGCTGTTGCCTCCTGCGGCCGAAGCGGGCTGCAGTGGAGTCAAACAGCCAAAATCAGACCCGACGTTCGGGTGCTGTGCGAGCATACAGCCGCTCGCAGTAGTATCCCATGTATGCTTATGTGCGCGCACACGGCGAATAATAATAATTCATGCGGAAGAGGAGGGAGAGAGGACAATAAGCGCCTGCACGCGCTGGCGGCTCCTCTTCCTCCTCCTCCTCCCCCTCCTCCTCCTCCTCCTCCTCATCCTACTGCTCCTGCTCCTGCTCCTCCTCCGCCTCCTCCTCCTCCGCTTCTTCTTCTTATTATTATTAGTATTACTATTATCATTATTAGTATTATTATTATTATTATTATTATTATCATTATGATTATTATTATTATTAGTATTATTGTTATTGTTATTATTATTATTATCATTATTATTAGTAAATAATAATATTATTACTATTAGTATTATTATTATTATCATCATTATTAGTAGTAGTATTATTATGATTCGTCTTCTTCTTATTATTATTACTATTATTATTAGTAGTATTATGCTTAGTCGTATTATCATTCTTATTATTATTAGTATGTTTCGTCGTCTCCTGCGTCTTCGTCGTCTTCTTCGTCTTAGTCTTCTTCTTCGTATTAGTATTAGTATTCTTCGTAGTATGATTATTCTTGTTATTATTACTATTGTGTTTCTTATTATGGCTCGGCGTCTTATTTTTCTTCTTATACTGCTTGTTAGTCTTCTTATTTGTCTTCGTGTTCTTCTTCTTATTAGTATTCTTCGTCTTATTATTAGTCGTATTATTATTCGGATTATTATTATTATTCTTCCTCCTCCTCCTCCTCCTCCTCCTCATGTTCCTCCTCCTCCTCCTCCTCCTCCTCCTCCTCCTCCTCCTCCTCTTGTCTCCTCTCCTCTCCTCGCCTCCCCTCCCCTCCCCTGCCTTCCCCTCTTCTCCCCTCTCCTCCTCGTCTCTCCTCTCCTCTCCTCTCCTCTCCTCCTCGACCCCTTCTCCTTCTCATGTTCGCACGATTGAACATTATTCGCTGGCCCACCAGGCCAGAGGCGTGCTCAGATCTCCGGCAACTGGTTAACAATCTTCTACTTCGCGAAGGGCGGGGCGGCTTCTGGGGGCCCTGGACGACAAGTACCCCGACCAGGTCCCGGCAATGTCGGCTCAGAGATGGTTTTCCTCCGCGGCGCTGCCTTCCAGGCCTCCCAGAGCGCTCCAGGAACGCGCCAAGAAGGCTCCGAGACGCCCCCCAGACGGTCCACGGAGCCCCGAGTCGCCGAAAGATTGCTACAAGACGCCCATGATGGTCTCCAGACGGCCCTAGACGCCCCCGAGAAGCTCCAAGAGAGTCTCAAGAGGCCCTCCAAGAAGGCCCAAACTAGCAAAAAACGTCTCATTTCCTCTGGGAAACCTACATTTCTGGCATAGACGACGTTGCGAGGTTCACAGCGTCCAAGACTGCCCGAGAGCCCCCCAAAATCGCCCTAAGATGGCCCAGCATGCCCCCAAGATACGCCCAAGACGGCACAAGAGGGCTCCAGGACGACCCAAGACGCCCCCAGAGAGGGAACTCGAAATGACATTCGAAGCTTTCCGACCCCAGGGGCCACTCCGAGACCGCCAGCAGGCTCCCAAGAAGCACCCGAAGTCCTAAGAAGCCCCCGAGAGGCCCAAAATCAGGCCCCAAGGGCACCCAAACGGCCACGACGAGGCCAAGCCTCAGAGCGAGCATCCACGATCAGCAAACCCCAACGAGGGCACCCGAAGTCCAACAAAGCACCACACAACTACTCCAGATTTCACAATAAAAGGGGGGTGGTCTGATTTGGGATGGGGTCAGATTTGAGCTGTCTTGGAGGGTTCCAGTGGGTCTGGGCAAAAAACCGCCCTTCATGGCTTGTTTGGGGGGGTCTGGAATTGCCCGTCTGTGAGGGTTGTGACCCCCTCCCTTTTATGGCGAAATCTGGAGTAGCCGCCCCGTGAAAAGCGACCGATTCCCCTGACAACTCCCAAGATATCAAGACGAATCGCCCCATCATCATGCCCCGCGCAGCGCCTCGGAAAACAGCCGACGCCCCTGCAGCTCCACCCCGCCAACGACCACTCGGCCAGTCGACGCAACGGGGCCCAAAAATGGGCCGGCGGAAGGAGCGAAGCGATTGAATAAGAAGACTGTCTTCTAATGGCGACGTCCTGCAGTGAAGATAACTTCTTCTGGGGGCCTGGGGAGAGGGGACCTGGAGGGAAGGTTTATTGCAACATCGTTGACGCATCGTGGGTTTACACTGGTCATCCTTATCCTCCTGCTCTCCTCCTCTCCTCCTCTCCTCGTCTCTCCTACACCGTTCAACCCCTTCACGCCTCCCGCATGCCGTTGGCGACGCCGCGGTCCCAGAGGTCCAGCCAGTCAGATTCACTCCTGCCGCAAACGCCCCCAAGAGGAGAAGCCGACGCTGGCGCACGCGCGCTCGCACAGAAACGATTAAGCAACAGGACGGAGGGAGGGGGGGAGGAAAAGGGGAACGAACCTGCTTTGCCATCTCGCCCCATGGGGCTACGGCAGGTTCGTGTCGCCACAACCCCGGCGTCGGTTTCTGACACCGGGTGGGTCGTTCAACCTTGAACGATCGGCAGCCCATCGATCGCCAGATCATGATGTATTGGCGGAGTCTGGGCCACTGGCGGCGTTCAACCTTAAACGCCCCGCGTCGGTACGACACGATCATACCGCACCGCGCATCCTTTGCCAGGCGCAGTTTTCGCGCAAGTCTTCGTCGACCTACTGTCCTCACATCTCCCACATCCTGCCCACCCAACTCCTCCCTCCTCCCTCGCCCATCCTGCCTCAGCCTGCACCGCCTCCCTTATCCGCCGACCCCAGAGGCGTGTGAGCAGAAGCGTGTGTCTGTGTGTGCTCGCGCCGCCTATCCTGCCCGCACCTGACCATGTCCTGGGATTGTAGCCGTTGGCCTGGCGATGATTCGCTCGTACACATCGTCCACGCATCTCTGCCCGGACCCCCCACCGCGATCCCCGCCGTGCCCCGGCATCTTCCCCGCCCTGAAGCTCTGTTCTTGGAGCTCCCCCACACGACGATTCCTGGCTTGGAATCGACCCCGACCCCCCACCCTTTCCCCCACCGTGCCCCGGCATCTTTCCCTAACAAGCCTCTGTTCGTGCGGACCCCCAACCGACCATTCCTCTCCCGCAATCAGCCCTGACCCCCCACCCTGACACCCACCATATCCAGGCATCTTCCCCGCCCGGAACCTCTGTTTTTGGATCCCCCCACACGACAATTCCTGGCCTGGAAACCACCCCGACCTTCCACCCTGACCCAAACCGTGCCTTGACATTTTCCCCGCCCAGAACCTCTGTTCAAGGCCCGCACCCGTCAATTCCTGGCGCGGAATCAATCCCGACCCCCCACGTTGACCCCCGCCGTGCCCCAGCAGCCTCCCCGCCCTGAACCTCTGTTTTTGGGGCCCCCCACACGACAATTCCTGGCCTGGGATAATCGACCCCGACCACCAACCCTGACCCCTACCGTGCCCCGGCACTTCCTCTTTCCTTGGGCCCCACCACACGACAATTCCCGGCCTGGTATCTCCGACCCCCCACCCTGACCCCCACCGTGCCCCGGCATCCTCCCCGACCAAGACGTTTATTCTTGGAGCTCCCCACCCGACAACTCCTGTCCCGCAATCTGCCCGGACCCCCCACCGTGATCCCCGCCGTGCCCCGGCATCTTCCCCGCCCTGAAACTCTGTTTTGGGGCCCCCCACAAGACGATTCCTGGCTTGGAATCGACCCCGACCCCCCACCCTGACCCCCACCGTGCCCCGGCATTTTCCCAGGACCTCTGTTCATGCTGTCCCCCATCCAACCACTCCTCTCCCGCAATCAGCCCCGACCCCACACTCTGACCGCCAGTGTCCGAACATCTTCCCCGCCCAGAACTTCTGTTTTTGCATCCCCCCACACGACAACTCCTGTCCCGCAATCAGTTCCGACCCCCCACTCTGACCCCGAACCAGAACCCCGAACCACTCTGACCCCGAACCAGAACCCCGTGTCCCAATATTTTCCAAGCCCAGAATCCAACCCGACCCCGCACCCTGACCTCCACCGTGCCCAAGAATCTTCCCCGTCCAGAACCTCTGTTGTTGTGGCTTTCCACCCGACAACTCCTAGCTTGGAATCGACCCCGACCTCCAACTTTGACCCACGCCGTGCCCCGGCATCCTCTCCGCCCTGAACCTCTGTTTTTTTGTGTGGCTCCCCACACGACAAGTCCTGGCCTGGAATCGACCCCGACCCCACCGTGCCCAACCGTGCCCAACCGTGCCCAGGCGTTTCCTCTGTTCTTGGGCCCCACCACACGCGCCCCGGCATCTTCCCCAGGACCTCTGGTCGCGCGGTCCCCCACCCACCCACTCCTGTCCCAGAGTCAGCCCCGACCCCCCACCCTGACCCCCTCCGAGTCCGAGCATCTTCCCAACCCAGAACCTCTGTTTGGGGCCCCCCCACACGACAATTCCTGGCCTGGAATCGACCCCGACCCCCCACGTTGACCCCCGCCGTGCCCCGACATTTTCCCCGCCTGGACCCTCTGTTCTTCAAGCCCCCCACACGACCAATTCTGGCCTGGAATCGGCCCCGACCCTCCGCCTTGACCCCCAGAGTGTCATGGAATCTTCCCCGCCCAGAACCGATCTGTTCTTGTGGCTCTCCACCCGACAACTCCTCGTTTGGAATCGACCCCGACCCCCACCCTGACCCCCGCAATGCCCCGGCATTTTGTCCGTCCTGAACTTCATACGACAATTCCTAGCCTGGAATCGGCCCCGACCACCATCCTGACACCCACCGTGCCCCGGCATCTCGTCTGTTTTTGGATCAGCTCCAAACGACACTTTCTGGCCTAGAATCGACCTCGACCCCCCACCCTGACCTCCACCGTGCCCAGGCATCCTCCCCGACCGGGACTTCTGTTCTTGGGGATCCCACCCGACCATTCCTGTCCCGCCATCAGCCCCGACCCCCAACCCTGACCGCCACCGTGCCCCGACATCTTCCCGGCCCAGAAACTCTGTTCTTGGATCCCCTCCACATGACAGACAGCTCCTGGCCTGGAATCGACCCCGACCCCCCACCCTGACCTCCACCGTGCCCAGGCATCCTCCCCGACCGGGACTTCTGTTCTTGGGGATCCCACCCGACCACTCCTGTCCCGCAATCAGCCCCGGTCCCCCACCCTGACCGACACCATGCCCCGACCTCCTGACCCCCACAGTTGCGCATCCCCACCCTGACCCCCACCGTGCCCCGCCCCCGCCTCCTTATCCTCCTCCTCCTCCTCTCTCGTACTTGTCATCCTCCTCCTCCTCGCCCTCCTCCCCCTTGCTGTCCACCTCTGCCACCTCTGCCTCCTCCTCCTCCTCCTCCTCAGAGACGGCACCAACCAGTGCAGCAATACAGCCGAACAGCAAAACAACGTGGCAACCCGGCAGACGAGAACGCAGACAACAGGAGCCACGAGCCACAACCACGTGTAAAGCATTCCCTAGCTCGAGCCCCCGCAAAAGCGCCACCTGGGGTCGGCGGCAGAGGCGGCAGCCTGAAAATGTCCTGACCTGACCCTCCTCTTTCTCCTGCCCCTTCGCCTCCCCCTCTTCAACCTCATCCTCCTCTTCGCCATGCTGCACTCGGAGGAGGGCGAGATGAGACAACGGCAGCTCAGAATCGGTCTCCAGATCGGTCCAAAACGCATCATCTTTCCGAGCTGCGCCTAGCCGTTGAGGGCCCCCCCGAAGGTCAACGACTGTTGTCTCAACTCGCCCTCACCTGTTGTGAACGTGTTCTTACTCGGCGGAATGGGGGGGGAGCGGGTCTGGCTCTGGACCTCTGCTTAGTGCGACTGTTTGCAGCAGCGCCGCGTCCTATGGGGGAGACTCCACCTGCTCGAACCAGGCACCAAAAACAGAGAAAAGATCTACAACGTGGGGGAGGGGAGGGGATGCGAGGGCCCGCGCCGATCGGCAAAACGATGAATGAGAGAACGAGCACGTTCCTCCCCCTCCGCCGAAATGTTCCCTACCTAGGCTCTGCCTAGAAGGGTTCTTACTCTCTTAGCTTAAAGGGGCCGGGCAGTGGAAATCGCCCCGGGCGGTTCCCCCAGTCCCCGCCCCGCGGTTCCCCCAGTCCCCTGGGAGCTTTAGCCTTAGCTTTAGCTTTAGCTTTAGCTTAGCTTTAGCTTTAGCTTTAGCTTTAGCTTAGCTGTAGCTTAGCTTTAGCTTAGTGTTAGCTTAGCTTTAGCTTAAATTTAGCTTTAGCTTAGCGTCAGCTTAGTGTTAACTTAGCTTTAGCTTAGCTTTAGCTTAGATTTAGCTTAGCGTTAGCTTAGCTTCAGCTTAGATTTAGTTTAGCGTTAGCTTAGTATCAGCTTAGCCTTAGCTTAGATTTAGCTTAGCTTTAGCTTAGCTTTAGCTTAGATTTAGCTTAGATTTAGCTTAGCTTTAGCTTAGCTTGGGGCTTAGCTTCAGCTTAGTGTTAGCTTAGATTTAGCTTAGCTGTAGATTAGCTTCAGGTTAGTGTTAGCTTAACTCTAGCTTAGTGATAGCTTAGCTTTAGCTTAGCTTTAGCTTAGCTTTAGTTTAGCTTTAGCTTAGCTGTAGCTTAGCTTTAGCTTAGCTTTAGCTTAGCTTCAGCTTAGCTGTAGCTTAGCTTTAGCTTAGCTTTAGCTTAGCTTTAGCATAGCTTTAGCTTAGCTTTAGCTTAGCTGTAGCTTAGCTTTAGCTTAGCTTCAGCTTAGATGTAGCTTAGCTTTAGCTTAGCTTTAGCTTAGCCTTAGCTTAGTTTTAGCTTAGCTTTCGCTTAGATTGAGCTTAGCTTTAGCTTAGCTTTAGCTTAGCTTTAGCTTAGCGTTAGCTTAGCTTTAGCATAGCTTTAGCTTAGCTTTAGCTTAGCTGTAGCTTAGCTTTAGCTTAGCTTTAGCTTAGCTTCAGCTTAGCTTCAGCTTAGCTTTCGCTTAGCTTTAGCTTAGTGTTAGCTTAGCCTTAGCGTAGCTTTAGCTTAGCTTTAGCTTAGCTTCAGCTTAGCTTTAGCTTAGCCTTAGCTTAGCTTTAGCTTAGCTTTACTGTTACTACTAATGCTGCTTTCCTAGGGGCTCCAACTCCTAGGTAGGGTCGCACTGGGATAATTTCTTCAATCCGCGGCGCCAGAGATCCTGGCCCCTTCCCCGGGGCCCACTTTTCGTCCCGGCTCCATGCTTCATGGTCCCGGGGCCCGCCGACGGGACCCGAAGGCCCGAATCGAGGAGAAACACCGGGATTCAGAAAAACGAAGCACTGCTATCGTTGAAGATTCCCCTCCCCATTCGCCCCCTTCCTGGAGAGCGGAAAAAAACACCCTCAGAACAAGGACCCCGACAAGCGAGGCCGTCTTTGGAGGCCTAGAACTGGGCACCAACACCAAAACAGGGGGTTGCATCCACATGGGGAATATGATCCTAGATTTCGGTATTGGTGGCAATATTTCAGTCACCTTGGAAGCCAGAATATTACCACCACCACCACCACCGAGATCGGGATCTTCTTCCCTGGGCGGAGCCAAACCCGCCGATATTGGTGTTGGTGTCAACCTCTAGGCCTGCGACGTCTAGTCAAAGCACCAAGGGCCGGAATCGAGCAGGGCAGGGCAGTTTCGTAAAAGGCCAACGCCATTCAATAAACGCCGAACATGGAAGTCGGGGAGGCGCTTCCACCCGCAACTCCCCCGCCTTCTGACTCCTTCGGGGATCGACTGACCCGGGTCAGTGCAAACCCAGCTCCACCGTGGCTCTGCAGGATCCTGCAAAATCTTGCAGGAGCCTGCAGGACCCTGCGCGCTGACCTGGGTCAACGCAACACTGGCTTTGCAGGATCGTGCAAGATCGGCGCTCTGGTTGACCCCCGCTTGCACCGACCCCCGCCTCAAGGCGTCCGACTCTCGACGGCGAGCGGGGGGGGGAAGTGAGACGGAGAAGGCCTCCCCAGAAGGCGGCGAGGCTTCTCACGCGGCCTCCAGCCCACTGAGAACTCTTCTGCATACTCGTCGGGAGCGGCCAAGAGTGCAAGTTTCAGAGTGCAAGCCTGAGCAGGTCATCCGTATTACGTGATACATATGAGCCACCGTGTGTACAGGTCCTTAGGTGCGGGGCCCAAAGTGGTGTACCCTACGAGGCTCTGGAGCTTTCTTGGGTTAGTTCTAGGGGCACGGGTTCCGTGATGGGACCGTTGTAACATGCACGTGCGTGTATGACAATATGTTTGCAGGTTTTATGTCACCGCTTGCCATTTCTGTCAAGCGAGCGCCCCCTCGATTGTGCTCGCGGGCACATGTTTTGATGGAGGCTCTGTGAGCAGAGCCCGGTCGGACGGCCGACCGCGAGAGAGAGAAAACAAGTTTGAGACGCTGTGCGTATTCCGCCAACGACTTGCATGGTAGCGGAGCTCGTGGTTGACGACACGAAGATCCACGGAGGACCGCGATGAAGGAGGAGCATCGCGGCGATAAGGTGCCAGGCTGGGACGGAGATCCTAAGACCTGGCGGACATATCGACGACGGAAGGCCCTCCAGTACCAGGAGGGCACGAAGAGACAGGACAGGTACCTATGTGGCCCGAGGCTCGAGGCGAGGCTCACGGGCAGAGCTGAGGTTGCAGTGGAGCGCTGTAAGTCAGGCTGGCTCTCGAGAGATGACGGGGTGGAGCGACTCTTGGCATGGCTGGAGCGCCGCTGCTCGCGCCAGGCGGTCCCGGACGTGGGACAGGAGCTAGAGACGTTCTTGATTAAGACCAGGCGCAGGAAGCTCGAGCCCATGCAGCAGTGGACGGACAGATTCGAGATCGGGTACCAGTACCTGCGACGCGCGCTGGCGCGTGCACTCGGCCACCCGACTCCGAGCCCCCCTTCGACATCGAGCTGGACCCCCAGACACTGGAGATGGGTCGAAGTTGAGAATGAAGAGAACGACGAGGGGCCGAGCTGGACGTGGGAGCACACCGACGGCCGAGGAGAAGAGGAGACAGGCTCGCGCACCTGGAGCCACCATTGACGATGACGCCGAGGAGCAGCATCGTGCGTGGTTGGCTGATGCTCGCGCGCGCGGGCCTGGATTCCAGGGAGAGGTCGGCCATCATGACCGCCACTGGTGGCTCGTTGGAGGCCGGCGCGATCCGCGACAAGTTGATCTCGACCTGGGAGGACGACGACCTGGCAGAGCGAGACGGACACGCCAGATACCCGAAGGCCTACACGGCGCAGATGGGAGATGATGACCGCACCTGGCTCGACGAGGAGGACGTGAAGCAGGGTGTGGGCAGCTTCGCAGCCGAGCAGGAGCACGAGAAGTTCGAAGAGGAACCTGACATGGCAGAAGCCAATGATGAGGAGATCGAGTCGTACATGGCCGTCCAGCAGGAGGAGGCCGAGGCATTGGCTGCCATCCACACGGCCCAGCGTACCCTTCGCCAGGCTCGCGAAGCGCAGGCTGACAGCAGGCTGAGCCGCGGCTTCTACCGCGGGGGCCGGCCAGGGAGTCAAGCGAAAGGTGGTGGCCGAGGAGCCGGCGGAGGATTCCCAGCGGGATCTCGTCGGCCGATGGGCAACCAGTATGGAGGCCGGGGGATGATTCAACCCCCGAACAAGGGACAGAAGAAGTGCCCGAGATGTGGAGGCGGTCATTGGCTCCAGGATTGCCCTGACCGCCACGATCCTCGCCTCGGCCCCAAGATGAACCACGCGCCCGAGGCGAGCGCAAAGATGGCCACCCGCACGAAGGAGCTGAAGTTCAACCTAGTGGCCGCCATGGTCGCCGAGCAGGAGTCTGGGGACTCACAGAGCGAGGCGATGTTCGCTGAGCAGGCCATCTTGGAGGGCAAGGGGATCGTCGACTTAGGCTGCACGGACACCATGGGTGGTGAGCGTGCGCTCGACATCGTGGCCCGCAAGAACCTGGAGAAGTATGGCGACACGAGGCTCCGTGACGTGAACCTCAGCTACCAGCCGGTGTACAGCTTCGGGAACGGGGAGAAGGAGCGCGCCTACGGACAAGTGAAGTTCGGGATCACGGGCGCGGGCAACGAGGGGGACATCGCGATCAACGGGTTCGCGAAGGATATCCCGATCCTCGTCTGGGAGGTGCTCAAGAAGCTAATTAGGGGCGGTCATTGACTGTGACACGGGTGTCGCAATGTTCGTGAAGCTTGCCCCGAATATCCCCGTGCAGCTGGAGGAGTCGCCCGATGGCGGACACTACTACATGAGCCTGATGGACGACATCCTAGAGCACCGAGTGCAGGACCCCGTCAGGCTGCAGAACTTCAAGAAGTTCAGCCAGCACGTATCTGAGTGGGGCAGGCCGGATCTGGCCGCCGTAATGGGGCAGGTGCTGTTCGGAGCCGACCAGTCCGAGGAAGATGGAGAATACTCACACCTACTTCCCTCCCCTCACGTCGCCAGCATTCCCGTGGGGTCGAGCGAGGGATTCCGAACAGTCCGAGACCCCGGGAGACCACAAGCAGAGACGAAGAGGGTCCAGCAGGGCATCCATAGCCGTTCTGGCTCGAGCCCGGCGAGACCTCCAGCATCTGGATTGATCGACGTGGTGCAGCCTGCACCCCCAGAACCTACATATACTCGACCGCTGCCAGCGGATGGCAGCCAGATGTTCAGCAGCAGCTTCGTCAGAGGAGCGCTCCAGCTGGCCTGCGTCAGCGCCGCATGCAGGTGAACGCCCGAGATGGGGAATGCCAGCTTCCCGCAGGGAGGTGCATCATCTCCACAAGGCGGAGGCGGTGGAGCTGATCAGAGAGCTGGGTTTGCCCTGCAGCCCGGCCTGGTCGATGGACGAGCTGAGTCACACCATCCAGGAGGCCCTCTTCCCGAGGGACGAGAGCGCCTCTCAGAAGACACTGAAGGGGATCAGTACCATGAAGAAGCAGGAGCTGGTCCAGAAGGCAGAGGAGGTCGGAGCCCACCTCACGCCGAACATGACGAATGCAGCGATGAAGCTCGAGATCCGCAGCGCCGTGCTGATGAAGACGAAGCCCGAGCCAACGGACTTCATGGGTTTCGGCAAGCACGGGGCCCTGACGTACCAGCAGGTCAGGATCCAGTACCCATCCTACGCCGAGTGGGCCCAGAAGGAGGCCAGCACCGAGAGCAGCTGGGAGCTCACTCGGTTTGCCTCGTGGCTCAACGAGATGAAGGCAGTCCAGGAGATGACCAAGGGCCCGGTGGAAGCTCCAGCGGAGCATACCAGGGCACGAGGGGGCGCGAGGTCATCCCGTCGGCGCACAATGGACGTGATGATGGAGGACGAGCTCGACGAGGAGACGTTGCGATCGGCCCCCGAGGAGGAGCTGACAGCCAACCGCCAAGTACAGAAGGAGATGCTGACGGCTCTGGGCCAGCTCAACCAGAGGCTGGAGCGCCTCGAGGCGCCGAGGGCTCCGAGTTCCGCGGACAGTTTTTATCGCAGTGGAGCACAGTCAGAGTGGTCCGGCCGGGGTCTGAACTATGTCAAGGAGCTCGACCCCGGGAAGCAGCGATGGCTCGCAAAGTGCATCAGGGAGAGCAACAGCACCGAGGACTTCGAGGCGCTGATGGCACATGGGGGGGTCAAGCTCATGGAGCTGGCCTGCAGCCCCGCATCCATCCTGAGCACGAAGATGGCCGAGAAATTTGGCGAGGAGACCGTGCAACGGGTCAGCTCGTGGAACGGCCACAAGCTCGGGACGGCCCAGGGTAACCAGAAGGCCCGGGAGACCCGGGACAAGGCCGAGCCCGACCACCTCTGGATCAGCACTCGGTGTGGTCCCCTGTCCACGCCGCTGACACTCGGTTTCAACGCCTCCAACCCGGCCAGGGCAGAGATGACCAGGAAACGACGGCTCCAAGCGATCAAGGAGTACAAGGGTGCGGTGCAATTGGTGTACGACCAGGTCGCCCAGGGAAGGCACGCCCACTGGGAGTGGCCCATCAACTGCGAAGGATGGGGCCACGCCATGATTCGCCAGATGATCGAGGACTGCTCAATGACCGTGGTGAAGGTGGCCGGGTGCCAGCTCGGGGTCAAGAATGAGAAGGGAGAGCCCCTCCTGAAGGAGTGGCTCATCGCTACGACCTCACCGAAGATGGCGGCTCGGATGGCCACAGAGTGCCCATGAGGTCACAGGCATGGTGAGCTCATGGGCGGGGGCCTCACGGCCTCGACAAGCTACTACACGGACGAGTTCGCCCAGAGGGCCGTGCAGGCCATGATCGAGGAGGCCGCGCCAGACTACCACGAGTTCTTGAGGAGCATGTCTACGGAGAATGAGACCAACGGGCACGCCTTCGCGGGGCAACAGGAGTCGAACTCACCCGCCGAGGACCCTGGCTCCAAGGAGTACCAGAAGATCATGCAGTGGCTCACGTCTGTGCACCGAGGGTCCGGTCACAGCTCCAAGGCGTCCATGCTGAATGCGCTGAAGAGGAAGGGGGTGAGCCCCAGGGTGATGAGGGTGGCCCAGGACTTCCACTGCGAGGCGTGCGAGGAGGCGAACAACCATCGCCCGACGCAACCGCCCGTCAGTCTCGAGGTCATACCCCCGAAGTGGAAGCAGATCCAGGCGGACCAGTTCGAGTGGGAGCACCCCCGGACGAAGCTGAAGGCCAAGTTTTCGCTGATCATTGACGAGAACTGCAAGGTCCGGGTCACTAAGCTGTTATACCACATGGTGGGTCAGGACCGCCACAGGACTCCCTTCTGGGCAGACCTCAAGAGCTTCTACGAGGAAAGGTGGCTACCGTACTTCGGGAAGCCGCAGCGCGTGAAGGTGGACCCCGAGGGTTCCTGGATGTCCAAGCAGGCCGCCCAGTATTTTGACTCAGACTCCATCGGATACGAACCGATCCCCGGCCAGGCTCACTGGCACATTTCCCTCGCGGAAGAGGCGATCCAGGCAACCAAGGGGACGATGGACAAGATCGTGACTGAGAACCCGGACATGTCCACCGAAGAGGCCCTGGCCCGCGCCACAGCCGCCGGGAACTCCCGGGAGGACGTACGAGGCCATTCCCCCTTGCAGCACGCGCTGCGAAGGGCCCCTGACCTGGACGGCCATTTCTTCGAGAGCGACTTCGACGAGCTGCCCTACGTCGAGGCCCAGCGGGTAGACAAGGAGTACGGCGAGAACTACATGAGGATGTACACGGCCGAGCAGGAGTACCTGAGGCAGGTATACCTGCGTCGCCTGAGTAGTGCAGAGAATGCCAAGAACCAGTCGCTCAAGGCCGTGGCGCCTGGCATGTGGGTGCGCTATTTCCGCAAGGAGAAAGGCGAGGTCAAAGGCCGATTCAAAAGGCTCGCGCGGGTGCTCGCGGCGGAGACGAGCCGGCCCGTGGACGGTGACCTTGGAGCAAACCAGACATTGCATCCAGGTCGTGCGGGACCTGTGGTCTGGTTGGTCCGGGCAGGACGCATCATCAAGGTGGATTTGTGCCAGATCCGAGCTGCATCCGCGCGGGAGATCGCCTACGCTGAGCTCATGGCGGGCAAGGACACGCCCTGGACCGTGAACACATTCATGAATCAGGCGATGCGGCAGGAGTACCTGGACTTCTCGGGACACGACCCCACGGAGCAGGACGAGGAACTCGCATCTTGGGAAAAGGGGTGCCTGAACCAGCAACTCCCGTGAAGAAGGCCCGCCACGAGGAGCCGCCAAGTGAGACCAAGTCCGAGCGCAACCAGATCCCTGTGCGCAGGGCGATTCGGAAGAAGGCACCACCGCCAGGAGGAGTGGCCAACATCGTGAAGGCAGCCTGGGCTGCGCAGGCAGAGGATATCATGATGGAAAGGGCTGCCCTCATGGCCAAGGCATCCCCGGATGCACGATCCTTCTGGGCACGGCAGGGGACATCCCTGGAGGTCTCGGTCGAGCTGCCCCTGGCAGGAAAGCCCCTGAAGCAGGCCACGAGACACATGAGCACCTACATGGCAGGCCAACTGAAAAGAGGGAAGCGAGAGATCTCAGAGCGGACCCTCACCCTGGAGGAGGTGAAGAAGTTCAGCGTCGCCAAGGCCACCGAGGTGAACAATTACGTGATATCTCCGTGCTGGAATCCTTGCCGCCCGGGGTCACCCCGCCACCAGAGGATGTAATGCGCATGCGGTGGATCCTGGAGTGGAAGATGGACGAGACTACGAGTGAGAAGAAACCTAAGGCCCGGATCGTGGTCTTGGGTTACATGGATCCTGAATACGAGCACCGGCCGACGACCGCCCCAACCATGACCAGGACCTCCCGGCACCTGGTGCTGCAGGCTATGGCGTGGCTCGGGTTCAAGGGTTACAAGGCCGACGTGACAGGAGCGTTTACCCAGAACCGGGAGATCAAGCACGACCTGTTCGTGATGCCCGTGAAGGAGCTGGCCGTCGCCCTGGGGATGCCCGAAGGGGTTGCGATGCGACTGCGGAAGGCAGTCTATGGGCTCGTGGAGGCAGCCATCGAGTGGTTCATGACGGTGAGCGAGGCCCTGGAGGAGTTCGGCTGGACGCAGATGAAGATGGACCCATGCGTTTGGGTACTCTACGGCCAATCCCACGGCCAGGACACCAGCTTCACGAAGGAGGCCCTAGGTCAATTCACCGGGTCCGAGGTAATGGGCGAGCTGATCGCGGCGAAGGGTGACCTGGACATTGTGGCTATCGCAGGGTCCCACGTGGATGACTTCCTGCTCGGAGGGAAGGAGACGGACCCCAGGTGGGTCGAAGCCCGGAAGAAGATCGAAGAGCGATTCAAGTGGAAGGCATGGGAGACCGACGAGTTCGTGCAGACTGGTGTCCGTATCAGGCAGCTGCCAGATGTGAGCTTCAAGATGGACCAAAGTGAGTACGTCAAGACCATCGAGAAGGCAGTCGTGAGCCCGGAGCGAAAGAAGAACAAGGATGCCCCGACCACCGACAAGGAGAAGGGGCAGCTGAGGGCAATCCTGGGCGCCATCGGCTGGCGCTCCGAGCAGTCAGGCCCCATGCACTCGGCGGACACAAGCCTATTGCTAAGCACGATACCGTCCTCCACCGTGCAGACCCTCCTGGACACGAACCGCCTGGTGGACAGGGTGAGGGAGGGAGCAGACCTCCCCGTGGTCATCCACAGCCATTCCAGCGCGCAGGTGATCGTTCCCATCGAGTGGTCAGATTCCTCGGAAGCGAACCGCCCCGACGGAAAATCCACCAAGGGACTTGTCACAGGGATGGCCCCACTACGCATCCTGCAGGGAGATGAGTCAGACGTGAGCATGATATCATGGAAGTCAGGGAAGATTGACCGAGGGTGCCGGAGTTCAGTATCATGTGAGACCCGATCAGCTGTGGACGGTGAGGACGAACTGTTCGGGGTCAAGCTCCAGTGGTTGGAGATACTCGGCAATCAGATCGACTAGCGCAACCCGGAAGGGACACTCAGCCAGTTACCCGCAGCCCTAGTGGTGGACTCCAAGGGTCTCTACGACAAGCTGCAGACCACGGTGTACACATTCCGCGGCAAGGAAAAGAGGACTGACGTGGAGGCCATGACCTTAAAGGAGGGATCGACGGCGTCCAACAACTGGGTGCTGTGGGTACACGGAGATGCTCAGCTGGCGAACTCTTTGACGAAGGGGTTTGAGCCCGGACAGCTGAGGATGTACTACAACAGTGGCCACAGGTGGAAGCTGGTCTACGACGCCTAGCACCAGAGCGCTAAGAAGCGGAAGGCCGCAGGGATCCTTCCGTTCGAGAGCGTCCCCCCGGGAGTGCTGCGCCAGGAATACGCAGGAGACGGTGCCACATACGCAGCAGCAGGTACTGGAACCAGTCCCGTGGGTTTCCCAGAATACGAGGCGGTATCTGATTACACCAGTGATGGAGAGTTTATGGACTGAACCATGCTCAGCTTGGAGGACCCTTATCCGTGCAAGTTTCAGAGTGCAAGCCTGAGCAGGTCATCCATATTACGTGATACATATGAGCCACCGTGTGTACAGGTCCTTAGGTGCGGGGCCCAAAGTGGTGTACCCTACGAGGCTCTGGAGCTTTCTTGGGTTAGTTCTAGGGGCACGGGTTCCGTGATGGGACCGTTGTAACATGCACGTGCGTGTATGACAATCTGTTTGCAGGCTTTATGTCACCGCTTGCCATTTCTGTCAAGCGAGCGCCCCCTCGCTTGTGCTCGCGGGCACATGTTTTGATGGAGGCTCTGTGAGCAGAGCCCGGTCGGACGGCCGACCGCGAGAGAGAAAACAAGTTTGAGACGCTGTGCGTATTCCGCCAACGACTTGCAAAGAGGGGGGGGTCCAAGAGGGGGGGGTGCAAATCATGACCGGCGGCATGTGCGCGGCCCAGCGGGGGGGCCAGGGACGTAATGAAATAAGAAGAGGCGCCATGAAATCTGGGGAAATATCATGGCCCCCGCCATGATATCCACACCCCCTAGTCATCACCCCCCTCTTCTCCGCCCCCGAACTCGGGGAAAGCTTAGAACACGTCTCAGAAGGCCGGGGGAACTCCGAGCCATCTGAGAAGGCCCGCCCCGTCTCACATTCCCCCCCGGGCTCGCTGCCGAACCATGGCGCGACACGTAAGAGTGACCCTAGGCAAGAGCGGCCGTTCGTGCGCGGGCCGAGGCGCAGGGTGGCCGAGTCCAAGCGCGCAAGCAGCCGCCATCGCATCGCGCTCAGCGATCGGGGGGGAACCGAGACTCCTCCTTTGGGCCCCGATAAATGGAGGGCGATAGATGGGGGGGCAGCGAAGGCTGCAGAAAAGGGGCCCATCATGGCCCCTACAGGGGCCCTTTGGGGCCCAGAAATGTGACTCTAGGGCAAGAAAAGGGCACCTCCCTTCCCCCCCCGTATTGGGGAAACCCAAAGGTACCAATACTGCTACTCCTCAGACCTCTCCTGGGGCGCGATCTCACCAGGACTCCGAGGCGAATCCAGCGGCGGCGACAAGGGCCTCCCAGGAGGCCTAAAAATGGAAGACGGGAAAAAGGTAGCGGTATGGGTACCTCTTCCTCCTCTGACATTTATAGAAGAGGGAAAAAACATAAACATAAACTTTTGGCGCTCCGCGCGGATCTCTTAGATCTACGCTGGACCCCCCTCCCTGGCGCGCGGAGGGCGCCAGGGGCGGCGCCAGAGGCGCCGCCCGGGGAGCCCCGCGCGGATTCAAGAAAGCCGCGCAAGGCGCCAACAGCTTATGTTTTTGGCGTTATTCCTCCTTCGATGGATCGCCCCCCCACTCACTCGCGCCCAACTCCCCCTCCCCGCGCGGCCGCCGGGGAGACGCGCGCGGCTCCGGGCGCACGCCGCCCGCAGGTCCGCGCGGGAGGAGCCGCCCCGCCACGGGCCTCCGCGAGGCGCCGGCGGCGGCAGCACGGCGCGCCCGAAGAGAAGGACTCCCCCCTAAAGAGCCAGCAAACCTCTCCAAGGCCGGAGGCCCTCTGAGAAGCCCCGCCGCCTTCTGAGAAGGCCTTCTCCTCCTCACTCCCTCCCTCGCTCGCCGCCGACGGGCATCGCTCGGCTTCGCGCGGTTACTTTCGGCTCAGGATGGGGACGCAGATGTCCCGCGTCTGGAAAAAAAAGTCCAGGCGGAGGCACTTCACAGTTGCTCACTCCCTGGAGCCAGCTTCTGGGACCCGACCACGACGGCTGGGGATGGAGGGTGAGGATGCACGGGCCCGGATCTGCTGAGGTGTATAGTTGGCGTCCATGGTGCGAGGAACCTAGAACGCGCCAAGATTTGGTGGCGTGCACAAGGGGGTAGGGAAGGGGGGAAGGCTTCTCAGGAGGAGGCTGCTTCTCACAGGGCGCGGGAATCACACCCATATATATATATATATATATATATACATGTATATATATATATATATATATATATATATATATATCCCGCGCATTCTAAGAAGCAAGGGTGCTTCTAACAAGCCTTCCCCCTCCCCATACCCCCTTGCGCGCGCCGTCCATGATTTCGCAAGATGATCCCAGATTCGCCTCGATGATCCTCGCCGAGGAAGAATGCGAACGTCTGAGCGAAACAGAAGGGAAGAGGGGACGGTTGGAGTACCATGTGGGAGGTGCTTTCGAACGAGAACAGACCGTAGACGAATATACCCTTTCTCTGACTCTGTAGTGCCCCGAACGCGACGGCCGCGCTGTTTTGTGCATGCGTCCACCCCGAATGTATCGATGTACCTTGCGACATCCGATGTGTTCATAGACGATTGTGGCTAGAATATGAGAACGGTATTTGGCATAGGCTCCAAATATCGGTCTTCTAGAAGCAGGTCGACTCTGCCCTAAAATCCTGGAGACCTCGCGCAACAACTTGACACCGCTCCACGTCGGATATACGTACGGCTCGCGTCGGAATCAAGTCGGCTTCACGTCGGACTTCTGCCAGAGCAGCCCCGCGGTTCGCGTCGGATTACGTCGCTTCATGTCGGTCGCACACGTCGGATGCACGTCGGCGTCACGTCGGACTTGAGTCGGAGCAGCCCCGCGGCTCGCGTCGGACTGCGTCGCACTTACCTCGGACTCGCGCCGGTTTCACGTCGGACTTCTGTCGGGAAGCAGCGCCGCGCGAACGTTGGCTGCCATACCTTACACAGAGCGAACACGTGCGGCCCGCGCGAGGTTTACAGCAATAACTCCTCGCACATATAAACGCACACCCCCTCGGAGACCTGCAAGGATCGATTTCCTGGGTCGGCGCTGCACCCCCCCCCACGGGGAGCGCCCCCAGCGCGCCAGCCCAGGAGATCCGCGCAGGCTTCCATAGAGAGCAGGAAATCCACCCCCATAGTAAGCACCCCGACAAGCAAAGACGTTTAGTAAACTCACCCACAGAGGGAATCGAACAAGGCAGGGCTGTTTTGTAAATGCCCAGGGCCGTTTCGTAAACGCCAGTTGTCGGGGTCGGGGTGGTTTTCCTCCTTGACTTCAGGAGC